GAACCTGGGCTCAGGCAATCCACTCACCTCGGCCTCCCAAAGTGCTGGGATTACAGGCTGAGCCACCGAGCCCGGCCAATCTGGGTATTTCTACAGGAACCATTGGCAATTCGGGGTCCCAGTGCTGCACTCAAGGGGTCTCAAAGTGTGCCCCACCAGCAATCTCACCTGGGAATGTGTTAGAACTGTCTCACCCCAACACTACTGATCTGGAAACTCTGGGACATGCCCGGGGATTCTGAGGCAGGCTAAGTTGTTGGAAAAAAGAAAGAAAAAAAAACCGGGCTCGGTGGCTCAGCCTGTAATCCCAGCACTTTGGGAGGCTGAAGTGAGTGGATTGTATGAGCCCGCGGGTTCGAGACCTGCCTGGGCAACTTGATGAGACCTCATCTCTATAATAAATCAAAAATCAGCCAGGCGTGGTAGTGCGCACCTGTAATTCCGGCTACTCGGAAGGCTGAGGCGGAAGGATCACTGGAGCCCAGCAGGTCGAGGCTGCGGTGGCCGGGAGCGGCCACTGCACTCCAGTCTGGGTGACAGAGTGAGATTCCAGCTAAAAAAAAAAAAAAGAAAGAAAGAAAGAAAAAAATTATTTTGGCAACCTGATACAGTAGCAGCAATATCTCAGGACTTGGAACGAGATACATAAGAATTCAGATCCAGTCAGACTTTTACGATTTTTTTTTTTTTTTTTAGCTAGGGTCTTACTCTGTTGCCCAGGCTGGAGTGCAGGGGCACGATCATGGCTCGCTGAAGCCTCAACCTCCTGGGCTCAAGCATCCTTCCCCCTCCAGTCTCCTGAGTAGCTGGGACTACTGGTACCCACCACCACACCCAGCTATTTGTTTTGTTTTGTTTTTGGTAGAGACAAGGTGTTGCTCTTTTGCCCAGGCTGGTCTCAAACTCCTGGACTCAAGCAATTCTCTTACCTTGGCCTCCCAGTGTTGTGATTATAGCATGAGCCACCATGCCTGACACTTTTAATATATTTAAATAACTTTTCGGCCACCTAAATGTCAGCTACATGAAGACAAAAGACCCTGTCTTTCCTTCATTGCTTCCTAGGTTTCATGATTCCTGTCACACAGCAGGCACTCATATTTGTTGGATAAATAGAATAAAACATTGAACACTGAGATCACTTGTACATCAATCATTTTTAAGCTGAAAAGTACTATACTCGTTAGTTATTATAGAAGTCATATACTCTGATCTATTATTTAATTATTAGTTATGGCAGCTGTTAGCTTAGGTAAGACATTTAACCCCAGGAAAATGTCATGTTCTTCCTCCATATATAAAATAGAGATAATGTTTTCCAAACTATGTTGCAAAAGCAATGTTCTTATCAACCAATGAAGTCAGAAAACAGAAGGCAATTTGAGAAAGAATCCACTTGTTTCACCCACCACCAGGTCTGAGTAAGGTGCACCTTCTGGCCGGACTCGGTGGCTCAATCTGTCATCCCAGCACTTTGGGAGGCCGAGATGAGTGGATTGCCCGAGCCCCGCAGGTTCAAGACCAACCCAGGCAACTTGGCAAGACCTCGTCTCTACATTAAATAAAAAAATGGGCTGGGTATGGTAGCGTGCGCCTATGGTTCCGGCTACTTGGAAGGCTGAGGCAGAAGGATCGCCAGAGTCCAGTAGGTCAATGCTGGGGTGGCCGTGAGCGTGCCACTGCACTTCAGCCTGGGTGGCAGAGTGAGACTCCAACTCAAAAAAAAATTAGGCACACCTTCCGAGTGGACCTCTAAGTCTGTGCTACAATTGCCTGATGTTCTCTCTCTGTCCCCATAGTCCTCCAATCTGCAAGGGCAGAGACCCTGTCTGTTTTATTTTTTACGGTACCCCTGGCTTGAGCACTGTGCTTCGCCCAGAGTAAATTTTTTGTTTGTTTGTTTTGAATAGAATCTCACTCTGTTGCCGAGGCTGGAGTACAGATGGTCAAGACTCATCACAACGTTGAACTCCTGAACTCAAGCTAGCCTTTTGGCCCGTCTCTTGAATAGCTGGGACTACTGGCTATTTTATTTTTAATTTTTGGTAGAGATGAGTTCTCACTATGCTGCCCAGGCTGGTCTTGAACTCCTGAGCTCAAGCAGTCCTCCTGCTTCGCACTCCCAAAGTGCTGGGATGACAGGCATGCGCCACCATCTGGCCCAAAGGAGATTTTCTCATGCGAAATATCTGTTGATTGATCAAATGGCTGTTTTATCAATATAAAGAATATCATTATCATCGTTAAAATTTTGACTTCTGTTTTAGGCCATGGAGGAATTTGAAGACCGAGAGGGCTGGGAATATGCTTCTTTAATCGGCTGGAAATTTCACTGGAAACAGCGTAGTTCAGATACCTTTCGCCGCAGACGCTGGAGGAGAAAAATGGCTCCTTCAGAAACACACGGTGCAGCTGCCATCTTTAAACTTGAAGGTGCCCTTGTAAGTAATAAGTAGCTGAAGTGCAAACCGTATTGCGTAGAGAAAAATGCACGAGTGTTGGACACAACACCGCCAGCTCCGTCGAGGGCCTTGTAGCCCCAGGACTGCCAGACTGCAAATAGGCTGAAGGAAAGCTATGCATTCTGGGACTGAGTAACCCTTCTAGAAAGAGTGGATCACTTGCAACCGAAAGGTTCTAAGAAAGGCTCATGCCAACACACCTGCTGCGCCCCACGTTTTCTAAATACATCTGTCCTGGGACCCTTGTTTCTGGGGACATCTATTCACGTCCCAGGCACGGGCCTTAGAAACTGCATCTGTTCAACAGCCCAAAAAGGTGAAATCCACAGATGTGAGGGGAAGGAACAGTCAGGACAGCGTGCAAAATCGGGAGACAGCCTCTATGGAGGTACAGCAAAGGAGGTAGGAAGGGGAAAAGCAGGCGGAAGGAAAGATCAAGTGGCAGTGGGCTAGGCGCTGTGGCTCACGCCTAGAATCCCAACACTCTGGGAGGCTGAGGTGAGAGGACTGCCTGAGTCCACGGGTTCGAGACCTGCCTGGGCAACGTGGCAAGACCTTGTCTCTATAAGAAATCCAAAAAGTGAACCAGGCTCGGTGGCTCAGCCTGGAATCCCGCGCCTTTGGGAGGCTGAGGTGAGTGGATGGCCTGAGCCCGCGGGTTTGAAACCAGCCTAGTCAACTTGGCCAGACCTCATCTCTACAATAAATCAAAAATCAGCCGGGCGTGGTAGCGCGCGCCTGGAGTTCCAGCTACTTGGAAGGCTGAGGCGGAAGGATCGCCGGAGCCCAGCAGGTCGAGGCTGCGGTGGCCGGGAGCGGCCACTGCACTCCAGTCTGGGTGACAGAGTGAGACTCCAAC